ATCAGGTGGAAAATTATTAGCCAAACAGTAACTGCCTCCTAATAGATGCAGTCACTGTTGGGATATTTAGTCATCTGTGGGCATTGCGACTACTGAATACAAGAGCTGACATTGGAGATTCTAACATTGTAGAAGAAGAGTTCTATTACTTTGTAATGGTCCTAAATCTATGTGTGTATGGCTAGCCTTACTTGATATAATCATGGTGTAAAGAGAGTCATAGAAGTATTCTGTTTGGCTCTGGAGAGTAGATAATTTAGCAGCCCTTACAGCATCATACATTTAGACACAATATACTTGGAAATCTAAACATCTCTGCCAAATAAGAACTATAGAAGTGTTGTTGTCTTCTAGACTGGTTTTATATGAGGAGGAAGATTAAAATTACTTTTTCATAATTCTTGTGCCTTCCTATTGTTTATAGGGGGTAGCATGAATTCCTACCTTAGACTCCCATTAAGCCAGTAACCATAATATTTATCGCCTATCCTATATGTTTAGTTCTGAAAACCTCCCACAACTGCTTTACCCCACATTGAAAGTATAATCCGAAACCTAAATTTACATTATAACAATACTATAAATGTCATGTAGTTAGGTGGGATGATGTTGAAATATTTGCACACAAAATACATTAGATTGTGTATTGGTTTCCCATGTAACTGTGGGCAAAATGTTAACATTCCAAATTACAGCTCTTGATAGACACTAGAGGACATGCTTCAGTGCCAACCAGCATTCCCCTTAATACAGTTGCATTGGGTTTGTATTTAGGCCTGTGGTGGGGCATTGCAGACACCTTACGTGCCAGCTTATCATGCAGAAAACATAGGGATTGGTCAAGTTTTCTAACCTGCTTGACATCTATTCCTCAAGATGAGCCTCACTGGCAATGTCCACAAGTAGACTTTAGATGGTTGACAGATGTGACTGGATTGGGAGATTGTCACATAATATCTATGAGCTCCTTAAAAATAACTGATATTTCAAAACTTGCATAGGCATAAGTGAGAAAGTTAAGAAATAACAAATGTGCTTGTCAAGTGGAGAAAAGGTGAGGTTACTCTGTAAAAATCCCTCATACATTTCTTCTACCAGTATTGCAGAGTGCTTGGGGCTGAACATTTACGCTCATTACATGTTCCCATGTGCCTCATTTAAAAGGCTCTCAATATGCTAGCCCTGTACTGTACTGTGTGTCCATACTAAAACATAATTCATATGATTTCATCATTTGGCACAATTAGCTCAAATCTTAGAATCACATATTGAATTGTAAACGCCTTAGGTCACTGGAATGTGCTGAAACCTCAGCTGACAATGAAAGTAAGCACAGAAGTTGCCTTGTATGAAGCATGATTATAATTTGGCACACTATGCTCTGATGTACACTGCAAAGAATGAGAGTAGTTAGAGAATCACAAATGTTTTTCAGTAATGTGTAGCTGGATATGTACTTGTACATCAATAAAACCAATTACTGATGAGGGTGTGTCTTAGGGCTTGTTCACACCATGTCCGGACCAGAACAGTTTCTGTCCGAACCTGAAATGCATTCAATGTATTTCTATGGTATTTCTGAGCTCTGTTCACACCAGTGCAGTGTGTTCCGGTGCAGGGGGAAAAAAATGCTGCATGCACTGTTTTTCTGGTCTGGGATGCACTAAAATGCGTGCAAACACATAAAAAATTGTGGTCAGGGCATTCCCTGCCCCTTTGTGGGGCAGGGATTGTGCCTCTCTGCAACTGATCGGGTTGGGATGAGGGGTGGCAGTCAAAGTTTGAGTGAACTGTGCTGGCACCAAGCCAAGACTCATCAGTAGTAGCTCATATCATAGCTTGAGAGCTCTGGATAGAATGGGAATGGCGTCAATCCCTTTAATGTAACTGTTTCAACCAAAGCTACCTTGCATTAGAGGTAACTAGCATTTAACACCAAGCTAAGCTTGATGTCTACTATAATTGTTTACTATAGCTGTATGCAATCAATAGAGCCATTTTCAGGTAGTCTATCTTACCCAATTCTCAGTCAAGTCTGAATGATTGATTTTGGTCAAAATTGTAGAACCAAAGCCAAAACTGTTTTCTTTTAGTTTTGGAAAGAGTAAAGAGGGGTTATTAAGCTTTATGTTCCCATTGGGGAGATTTCCCTTTCACCTCCTGTCGGATAGCCACAACAGGTAGTGAGAGGAAATCCTTACGAAGGGACAGAAATCCCTGGTGGTCAGCATGATCACCAGAACACGTGTCCCATTAGAAGATTCCTAGCTATTTCTGTTCTAATGACCACCAAAAAGTTGGAATTTTCATTCACTTTTCAGTGATAACTGTCACCAGGACAGATAGAGGGTGAATCTCCCTAATGAGGACAGAGACAAGAATGAAGATCTGACAGGCGTTCTAATCCATCTCCACTCTATCCAAAACTAGAAGGATTTGGCGCTTCAATTGCACTTTAACAGCCCTTCATTGCGTGCGCTCATGTTTCAGGAAGTATAGAGACCCTGTTAATAGAGTCAGCTGAATGTCATCCTGTGTCTTTTTTCCAATTCCTAATTGTATATGAATGTCGAGCAGTTTGTTAGTAGTTTGATTCTTAAAAATAGGAACCAGCAATGCAGATCTGTTTTCAATAACTTGAATCTGGCTTTCCTGCAACGCCAGCTTATTCCAAAGTGATTCTGGATGAGTGAAGCAAATACTTTGTCACAGAGATAAACATGAAACATCACATTCTGACGCTGCACTATGCTTTAAAGGTCTGGTTTGGTTGAGGGTTAGAGTCACCATAGTGAAAGCTGTGTAGACAAATAAGTAAATACATAAATATATAATAGGGAGCTGTTTTACCTGCCAAACAATGTATTAAATTTTATCTACCCAGTCCTGAGAATTACACTGCTCTGCCACACAGTATATTGCACCCGTTCTTTCTCTGCAGCACTTTCACTTACGGGTCTCCCCTCCACCACCCCCACCCTGTGACTGGACAGTGAAAAGAGAAGCTGCAGACTGATGGATGCATCTCTATCACTCCGCTCTCTCTTCCTATGAGTATGCCCCATGCACTGCAGCACACCAAATTTTCAACATATGCTGCTTTTTCCTCCCCCTCTCTGAACTCTGCTGTACAGTAGACTGCAAGAGGGTGATAGCAGGTTGAATTTAGGCACTTACACTGTTTACGTTTAAAAAAATACATATGATGACGTGTTAATAAATACAGAGGTGCAGGGGCGTCCCGAGGCCGGGTGTCACCCGGTCTCCAGACCGGGTGACACCCCGCCGTGTCGTCATCACGTGTGCACAGCCATCTGATTGACGCCTGTCGGCGGCCATCTTGGTGGTGAATTCCGGCAGAGAGAGGAGGGGACGAACCCCTGGCGCGATGAGGTATGCCGCCTGGCCCCCTCTTTTCTCCTGTCAGTCATTGACTGTCAGTCATTTTGGTGTCAACCCTGCAATGGTGTCGTCCGGGTGCGGGCAGCACCCCCCGCACCCTCCTTGTGACGCCACTGCAGAGCTGCATTCATTTGTGTCTTTTATATCTGTCTGGTATAGGGTCTGCCATTGCTGGCCTCCTTCTGAATGTACTAGCGGCCTGGCTGTTATGCTGACCCGCTGCCTCGAGTTCTTTGTTAGTCAATGACCTGGAAGAAGTGTACAGGAAAATGCAGGATCAGGAAAGTCAGTAGTCTTTATATGCATACATTTTCCAGGTCAGGGACTCAATGTATTGAAGTCTGACGGTCAGCATAATGGCCAATAAACTAGTATTTTTAGAATAAGAAGACAGGAACCAAGTTTGCATGTCCCTAGGTTTTTTGCTAAATATTTGGTGTAAAATGTAACTTCACCACAAACTTTTAGTATATAATATGTGTAAAATGTAGAGGTTCTGATGTAAATATGACTTTATTCACTGACCCATTTCAGGCATTTTCTGAGATGCAACTTCTCTCCCAAAATGCCTGGTTGTGATTTCTGATTGAAAGGGAAAGTATAATGGTGTCTGGGTCTAGACAGTGGTATCATTATTTTTAAAAAAAATATTTTTGCTACTTATTTAAAACCTTTTTTAGTATGCACAACATTTTTTTTTTGCTTTCTAGGAGGAACTGTTTGTAGAGCGATGATCCGTGCAAATTGTGTAAATCTTTCATATATACTATACCTGATTGAAAAAATAAAATAAAAATAAAACTATATGTTATGGTATTAAACATAATATAAGACTATACATTCCTTTTTAAAGGAAACGTCACTCTGACCAAGCCATAGGGGTAATTCCATAGAAAAAGGCTTCCTAGGGTTTTTAAGGAAGAAGTATTACCTTGTATTATCAGTCACCTAACTTCCTCAGTGTGTGTTGCTTTTAATCCCATGCTCCTGTGTGACGTAGAAGCTGAGATACAGACTTTAAAAGCTCACTCCTCTTCATTCCTGATCACACTCTGCAAAGGGGACTCTCTTGATTGACAGTTCTTATCTCACTGTCTTTGCACTTTCACAGCACAAAACAAGGCTCTCATTCCAGTGCCTGTGCTGATTCCAATGAAAGCATGTACCTCACTCTGCATTCCTGTGACCTTGCTTGTGTCTAGATAGTGCAGAGACAGTGAGATAAGAGCTGTCAATCAAGAGTTTGTCTCCTTTCAGAGCGTGGTCCGAAATAAAGGGGAATGAGCTGTCAAATTATATATCTCCGTTTCGCCTTCAAACAGAAGCATGGGATGAAAAGCAGTATGTACTGTAGGAGTTAGGTGACTGAGATGTGAAAAATAATACATGGTGAGATGTTTCTTTACGGTAATTAAAACCGGGCCACAGTACAATTTCCTTTTTATTTGATAATGATCCTTCCTTTTTTTAGTTTTGTTATGTGATATCACTGCTCTAACAATGTGCAGATGAATTGGTTATCATAAAAATAAAATCCTGGAATAGCTGGGCAGCTGTATATAATAAACCTCATGACATCTACTTTTCTCTCTTGTTAGGCTGGTGGTTTGTCAGCACTGCAGAAGAGCAAGGCTGGGTCCCTGCCACCTATCTAGACTGCCAAAGTGGGTCCAAAGATGATTCTGAAATCCACACATCTAAATCTGGTGATGGTAAGTTTATTCTGTTGGGTAGAGTTTTGGAATTTGCTTACGAATGTATTTCTTATGTTCAAGTCAATGTTTATTCCTTGCAGACAATTGCCTGCAAAGCAGACTTGAGTGTTCACTCATCCCTAGCCATTCATCAATAGGTAAACACTACAGGGTGTCTGTGTATAGTTGTACATCATTTATGAAGAAAGCTTAAGTTCTTAACCTTATGCTAGTTTGAACTGTGTACAACTGACTCTACCCCTCCCAGCTTTAATCTTGGAGAATTACATTTTCTTTTGAAGTTATTTAACATAAACCATTTACAACTAAACAGCAAGCTACACCACACTACTGTGTTACGGAATGAGTCAATTTTTCTGAGCCTTGTGTGTGGCTCGTCTGAGGCTTGTGTGTGATTTGTGGAGCATAACAATATCTTGTTTTTATAATATAACCTTGTTTAGAATGATACCTTCTTACATGGTATTGTCATACAGTCGTCATACTATAAGTTTAAAGAAAATTTGCAGCCGGTCTTCACTTGTTTTCTCTGTTTCAGTGACTTAGCAGAACACTGAGACTTTGTCTGGACAATGTCAGTTTTGCTCCGTCTCTCTTTAGTATGATATCTAGAAGCCCATAAATTGTACATGTCCTAGTTAATAGTTTCACGTATGCACTGCCAGTGGAATGTATATCTTCTTTATGGCCCTCTGGCAGTTTACAAATATAAACTCAATGTGGTCTCAAACCGCCCCTTTGTTAATAAAGGTAACAATAATAATGATAATATAATAATTATCGATAATAACGATAAAGGTACATGTAGATATGATAGTCACACAATGTTTTTAGCTGGATTGAATGGCAATCCCATGTAGTGAGAGACCTCTAACCCCATTGTCTGGTAGGGCAACCATAGTTACATAGGGGTCTATTCACCAAGCTGCCGAGGGCAGCCGAGTGAATGACCGATCTGAAGTGAAGTGAGCCGAACACTGTTCGGCTATTCACTTCAGGCTGGTACGGCTGATTTCAGCCGTACATCGGCTGAAATCAGCCGTACATCTGCTTGCTTCGAGTGGCTTCGGGTCAGCAGTGAGTGAATAGCCGATTGCCGCTGAGCGGCATTCGCCTCGGCTGTTCTGCTCGGTCCCTTAGAGGTACCGAGCAGAACACAAAAAGAGTGAATAAAGTAAAAAAAAGTAAATAGAAAACGATTGTGCGGAGCTAGCAGTGACAGCTAGCTCCGCCCAATAGTTTTCTATTGTCCG